AGCTTGGAAGATTAACCGCATCTTCGCAAGTAGCTAAGAGGCACATATAACAGATGACCATGCCTTGTCATCAAAGACATTTACCCATCCGGTTCGCGCCTTTGATCACCATAAACATTCATTTGTCTGGATTCGTCAGCTTGTTGGAGGTAATAACTATTTACGATCAAGTTTTGTGTATGAAATCATTCTTATGAACCAATAAACATTAAACCAAACTTTAATCTGGTTGAAATAATTTTTGTCTTTTAAATCGAAGAAATCAAAATTTTAACCTGTAAGTAAACAAAAATGAGAGGTATGTCTCTATGGAAGTAAATAAGAAAACAAAAAAACACAGTAATCGATCTATACTTCAAAACCAATTTTAATTACGATATTCTGCTTTCCAGACCGAAAACCCCTTACCAAAATTCAGGTTTAACAGTACTTTTAAAAATTAATAAGTAAACACACATGATTGAAGTTCTATTTGCATGAATCTTCAGGTTTATGAGGAAACAATAACAAAAACTTTGCTATCACACCAGAACCTAGACAATATTCAATCTTTAAGGATGAGAAAGGTGGAGGAATTTCTACCCTTATTCAACCAATTTTGTGAGAGAGGAGATATTGACTTGGCTCGTACATCTGTTGTCGTACCTTTCAATATCATCTCATATGCTCTGTTTTCTGTAGATTAGGCTACATATGATTAACTCCTATCTTGAAAATTTCCCCACGCATTGGTTCGCTTGATGGAGATCTACGGGAAACCCAAAACAGGGGACTATTTGTAGTTTCTTGTTTTGCAAGGTACTTAATAAGAACCAGATCTCGTTACCGATCATAAAATCTGTTAAACCTAGAGAAATAACAAAAACAAAAATCCATTAACAAAATATATGTATCATCGAAATAATATAACGCGTTCATCAAACAACTTCCAATAAGCGCGCGGGGTAACAAATAAAACACAAGTTAGGGAAAAAAGCAGAGATCAAAGTCGATTCAAACTGTATACATATTTGGCATACACGCTTCACTTGATGAGCATACAAACCTCTTCACAAAAGAGGAGGTAGAATGTTTAACACTAACCTACAAAAAAAAATATATAAATCATTAGTATAAAACGAATTTTGTAAATATATGATCACATCTTAAAAATAGATATGTTTTTTTGTGATAGTCACATATTTTTAAAAATATTCTATCATTCTCTAAATTTTAAAATATATAAATTTGCGTTTACATTTCTTCAAAAAGGTGTTCTTTTTGTTGATAAAAATGATATCTGTTGTAGCAATAAAAAATATTTAGGATATCTCCGAAATCTTAAAGATAAATTTAACAAACAATTGGCATTATTCCTTATCGAATAACCAAAACCAAAATATATATCTAATTCCATCGGAGTTAAAATAAACCCACAGTAAAATTCATTATCTTATTCATAGACATTTTATACATTAAAATAATAAGAAGAAGAAATTATATCATATGTATATTTAATCTTTAACCGAAATTGGAATAAGAATAAATTGCTTTTGTCTTAGTAATCTCTATACATCTTTTTTTTTTTTCCTTTTCCATATCACGAAAAGTATTTATCAACTATATCATGAGATTGTGTTGCACGTATGTTTTATATAATTATAAAACATAGAATTTGATGATGATATGAACAAATATAGCTTATTATATAAAGATCATACGTCATATGTTTGATCGACAACGGAAGGCTTACAACAAAAAAAAACCAATCCGAAAATGAGCTAACAGAAATTATCAGAGCAATCATCGCTACCATCTTCTTCGTATTCTTTCTCGCCAGTCGAAGTTGATCATTACTT